CTGATCATTCAACCTTTTCTTTCTTTGTGGTCTATTTTTGCTATGAACGAACTCAACAAGGCTCAGTTGTATAGGTTTTTGCCGGAGTTAATCGTTCGTTTCTGATAAAAGTTCAAATGCCACGTGATCTTTTACGATTTTCAGAGCTTTATTACATGCCAATACCGTCAGCCAACTCTTCGCTGTCGAAATGCTCGGAGAAACGTCAAGAGGTAAGGAAACATTGGCATTAAAACTACAGAGCTCGTTTTTTGCTACCCGATTCGATTGAAATTTAGTAATTTCCGAGTTGATTTCAGGCTAGCCGGTTTGACTTGATTCTTAATTTTCAGTTGACAGCGGATCAGGTGTTTCTTCTATATCGAAAAGGTGTCACTGAACAACGAAAAGGCAATTTCTCCCTAGCGTTACATTGCCTTCAACCGCTTATTCCATTCTTCTGCAATACGCCGTTGATATGGGTCCGAATTATAGAGATTGGCATTCGACTTTTGTACTATAGAGTGGGTTCGTTGACTTGCATTGTGTATTTCAACTCAACTTTTCCAGTTGTTTCACTCCTTGTTTATTTATCTAAGAAATTTTGGAATTTACTTGAACTTCCAAAGAGTCATATTCTTGATAATCGCGTTTCCGGCTCCCCTTTCCCTAAATGTTAGCATCATAAATATAAACATTATATTTTCATATCGCGCACTAAATAATCTTTATAAATGTTCAGTGTACGATATTAAATAGAACAAATTTCACTTGTCATGTTCCGGGTGCGGTCTTCTTAATTTCGTATGGGCATTTAGTTATTCACCTCCTTTTTAACCGTTTGCAAACGTTGACGGTGTGGTGTGTCACCTGCAAGAGCAAGCCTATAAGAACATTCTACATGCTGAGGTGGCTGCTAGCACTAGCAGCAATTGCAGTGTCTCTTCGTATAGCAGTCCTTTATAGAGCCTAAAAACTTATCGAACATTTAGTCTTAGATAAACAAATGAGTGTCGAATGTAGGCGATGTCAAATACGTCATTATCATCAATATTTGAAGCTTTATTACATGATACATTGTCCTTCATTTGGCAACTTTTGTAGCGTTCTGAACTACTCGGCTTGAACTTACCTTTTCTCCTTTCTTATCTTTTTGTTAAGTACGTTTTAAGTTTTGGCTCCGCACACTAACGCAAGCGTCACGCGGAGTTTCAATGATGTTCGATAGGAGAATTGCATGTTTTCTTAACTAGCCGGGATTGGATCCTTTCCTTCCACTAGTTTCTAGTTATCTGGTCTCTCTCTCTTTCAGGCTTTTCTCATTATGGGCCCTTTTTAAGTGTTTTGGTACATCCTACCATTGCTCTCTCAAATCCATAGTTTCCTGCTTTGTAGACTTTCTTATGGAACAAGTTACGAAGTTTTTCAGGTAAGTAACCATCCTTTTAGGGCGCCTTCACTTCACCGTAGGCGGGTCTTCCCAATTTTATCCAAGTCTGTTCACATTTTGACTCATTTTTTGCGTCTCAGGGCTGTTCTGGAATCAGTTGCGGAATTCTTCAACCGGTACCACCAATTCTGGCGCGTGCCCCGCCCATCGTTGGAGTTTAGGGTGATATCGCTCATGTGTGCTCCTTGTGGCGCTATTGTCCACCCATCTCAATAGACATTGACTTGGAACACCCTAGGTATGGCGTGTCAGGCATTTACATTACCCAGACTTTCCTTTACGTGTGACACATTGCTGGCAAGGAGAGCATACCTGGCAAATTACCTAGCAGCGTAACTTTCAGCTGATATTTCGGGGCGAGCTACATTAAAACCTCTGAAGGTCTGGTTGGTATCAATAGATACTTAAAGCTATAGCCCCAAAAAACCTGCGACAGCATTTTTGAGGCCAGAGCGATCGCCTGTTCGCTCATCCTTCCAATTCTTACCATTCAGATTCTGCTCTCTCCCTCTCCATAGTGGCACTGAGTAGGCGGTAGAAGTTTCTTGCTTTCCCATCACTACCTTTTGTTTTAACAGGTTTTTTCTTGCATTCTAAAAGCGGCTCTCTTCTGCCAGAAAGTAATGTGGCCGTATCCAAAACTATTCGAATCTTTTCAATCTTTTTTATTTTTTTAGTGGATTAATACGCACATTTAGCGCGTATATCTTGAACCCAATAACCTACTTGATGGATATGATATTTTTGACATTTTGTATCTTAAATGTGAGAACACTATCACTACATTCATATTAACAACTATGTGCTTAGTGGATTTTTGTTCACATAATTTTTTCAGGACAATATCAATGAAGGTAGAATCCTTAATGTTTATGGTTCTGGTAGAACACGTAGAGTCGTTCTCGCCCCGAAAACCTATCATTCCTCCGGTCGTCCTTCTGCTGCTTTCTATGCACAGTAAGCTATCATTGAATATTTTCTTTTTCTCCGTCAGTGCTACTCTGCCATTTTCAGGATTGCTGATCAAGCTGGTATAACGGAAGATTATCTGGAGAGTATTGCTGGAGTATTACTCTCCTTAACAAGTAAAACAGCGAATCGAAAGCTGCGCATCACGAGTTTGTCCCTCGCTGCTTTTGTTGCACTCAAAATGGGACGATATCAGTACGTTGTTGTTATGGTTAGGTTTCTTCCTCTCAGCCTATGCTATCATATTTACTCGTACCGCCTATGTCGTGAGCCTCCCTTTCCATTTCTTATCATTCAGGAGTGGACCTCTGGTATTGCCAAGGAACAGAAGAGGTCGGGCATGGGGATTTTTTGGTCCTAACACTAGGAATGGGCTCATCGAAGAAAACTTCCGATGTGCAGTTCAGGTGTAGTACATACGTATCGCTATTGCGATCTTGCGATTGCGCGATCGCAACACCGCTTTGCTACCACATAACTACTCCAAACTCAAGCTGTTAACGAAGGGCAAGGCAGCCAAATATGACCGCGGCTTGACATTTTTTTCTGAGCAACAGCAGATGTATGGAAACATTGTGGCAATGGATGAAGACGAACTCTCATTAAATTTGAGTTCGTGTACTGCTTTGTGTGCACTAGTACAAACCTACTGGCTTCTGTAGAGGGGAGGTGATAAAAGAACCACTCGAAAACAACTTTTATGTGACCAACGAAGATGATCCTATCAGCTCCCCTCGCATTCAGCCCCTCCTTATTTTTAAGCAAAGAAAATCCCAAATAAATCCAACTCATCATCTGGCAAGCGATGGCAATGTCAAGGGTGTATTGATGGATAAAATGGAAGGATGATAAAGATAAGAGGTAAGATATGATAGATAAGGTGAGAGATAAATAAGAAGGGACTTAACCATAACAACAACGTACTGATATCGTCCCATTTTGAGTGCAACAAAAGCAGCGAGGGACAAACTCGTGATGCGCAGCTTTCGATTCGCTGTTTTACTTGTTAACGAGAGTAATACACCAGCAATACTCTCCAGGTAATCTTCTGTTATACCAGCTTGATCAGCAATCCTGAAAATGGACAGAGTTGCGTTGACAGAAAAAAGAAAATATTCAATGATAGCTTACTGTGCATAGAAAGCAGCAGAAGGACGACCGGAGGAATGATAGGTTTTCGGGGCGAGAACGACTCTACGTGTTCTACCAGAACCATAAACATTAAGGATTCTACCTTCATTGATATTGTCCTGAAAATGTGAACAAAAATCCACTAAGCAGACCGCTGTTAATATGAATGTAGTGATATTATTCTCACATTTAAGATACTGCTACTGTCAAAAATTTCATGTGATAGTAGGTATTGTGGTTTCAACATGTATGCGCTCATGTATGCGTATTAATAACTAAAAAAAATAAAAAAAAAGATTGAAAAGATTCGACATAGTTTTCGATGTCGGCCACATTACTTTCTGGCAGAAGAGAGCCGCTTTTAGAATGTAAGAAAAAAAACCTCTTGAAACAAAAGGTAGTGATGGGAAAGTAACAAACTTCTACCGCCTACTCAGTGCCACTATGGAGAGAGGGAAAGAGCAGTGTTTGAAGGTAAGAATTGGAAGGATGAGCGAACAGGGATCCACCTTACCTAGGAGACAGTTCGTAAGCCTTTTTAGTATAAGTTTTAGTATCTAGTATCAACCACACCCTGAAAGGCTAACGTGGCTGCGTGAAAATCACCGAAATTATCCCTACAAGGTAGTTGAAAGTTTGTCTGCTTGTCTGTGTGTGCGACTTCAGGAAACTTAGTATTGCTTGAAGAGCCACGTAGGATCTAAGTAAAGTTTGAGATGGGTGGGCCATGAACCGAAGTACGAAGCACATATCACCTAAGCCCCAACGATGGGCGGGGCACGCGCCAGAATGGGCGGTACCGATGGAAAGATTCCGAAACCGATTCCAGAACAGCTCAGAGACCCAAGAAATGAAGATATGCACAGAGCTGGATAAAATTGGGAAGTCGCCTGCGGTGAGCGATGAAAGGACGGTACTTATTGAAAAATATCGTAACTTGGTTACAAGGAAGAATGCAAAGCAAGAAACAATGGATTTGAGAGAGCAATGTGTGAAATGTACCAAAAACACTTGAAAAAGGCACATCATGAGCGAAGCCTGACCGTTGAGCTTTCCACGAATCCTTATAATTCAGTTCTATAAAGATTCTGGAACTTAGAAAAAAGTGGACAGATAGCAAAGGAGCGGTGGCTTAATATTACGTGATTGGAGCGGGTCAAAAAGGGCGTGTTTTGCCACGAGATGCAATAATTCGGTACCGATTGCCCAGAATTTGGATAGAGGTTGGCGAACAAGAGAGGCCAAATGCTAATGAAGAGATGGACTTCACCGTTTGGACGGAGAAATAATATTCCGTAGTTCCTGAAGATCGGGAAAGCATATCGAGACTAGCGAAAGCAAAGGATACAATCCCTGGTAATCAAGAAAACATGCAATTCCTCTATCGAACATCATTGAAACCCATGTGACTCCTGCGTTAGTGTGCGGAGCCAAACTATGTAGTACCTAACAGAACGATAAGAAGGGAGAAAGAGTAGTTCAAGCCGAGTAGTTCAGAACGCTACAAAAGTTGCCAAATGAAGGACCATGTATCATGTAATAAAGCTCCCAATCAATTTCGAAGATAATGACGTACTTGACGTCGCCTAGATTCCACATTATTTGTCTTATTTCATTTTATGTGTTTATCTAAAAGATTGAATGTCCTATAAGATTTCAGATATAAGGGACACTGTCAATGCTCTAGTGCTAGCAGAATTGCAGAAATTCACATGTGCTTTTATAAAGCTTAGGTCGTGAAGAAAGTTCTTGCGCTTTTCGGTGTTTCGTTTTTGAACGCTTTATTTTGTTACGAATTCAAGCAAGCTGCCAATGAGCTGTATGTGGTTTTGAAGAGCTTTTCTTGTTCTATCTAACAGCTAGGCTAGCTATGTTCCTTATTATTTAGTTGTCATTTTTTGAAGCCTTGAATACGGCATACTCCAAGAGCAAATTTGCATGATTTCCTTTTTCTAGCTCAAAGCAGGCCAGTATGGAGAGGAAGCAGGTCAAGATATTATAGACGCACTTGGCTGAGATTCGCAATAAATATGGTCTGAAGCAATTGTTCAAAAAGCTTTTGTAAGAATAGCGAGAGCCCTAAAGATTGTGAGGGTGGTGATCGGAGATTGGACAACGCCAACGATTAGTCGAACGTTCTGGTTGAAGCACGTTTGCACAAATCTATTGAGAGGGTTCCTCCTAAACTAATCGCACTTGCATTGTGTTTTCTTGTTGTACGGGAAGAGCTGGAAAGTCCCAAAAATTCAAATAGGGCGTGCCGCGACAGCTCACCATTTTGAAGGGTCGTTCGCCGCGTTCTAGCTTGTTTTCATGCC